GAATTAGAAGCACAATCAGGTCGTTCTCAGGGAGGAGCCACGTTCTTTTTTTGTGCTCATGATAGCCTGAAACTACAAATTTTCTATGGAACGTGAAACTGTGCTTACTAGGAGCCTTATGCTATGGAGTGGCATAGTAGTTGGAAGCAGGTTTTTTGGACACAGCAACTGTAATTCCAATTTTTCAGCAGACCACTCGAAACTTTCGCCTACAAGTTATATGATATGATATAATTAGTAGAAAGCTGAGTCGGTTGTCACATCTTATACTAGACATACCACGCCTATGTCATGATCGTTAAAGAATATCAAAACTTTATGTGAAGACGCAACTCTCTATATTTATCCCTACGTCCCAAAATGTTAAACAATATATTTTGCTACTCCCTTCTGTAAAATACCTACATTACCGGGATATTAGCGTACAGGTTTGGGGGCAATCGGAGGTTTTCAAAGATTTTACCGCGCTCCTTGAATTATGACGTTTGTTAATTCCGACCGTCATATCGGTAAATGTATTCGTGTTGCTTTGCAAAAATATAGTAACAGTATAGTATGCAACACGTTCGGTAAACTTTTTAATAAACGAGTATTAAACACTCGTACCAAATAAACTCGTGAGTATGAGGAGACTGGATCCTTTAATAGGCGCCCTGAAAAAGGCAGAAGGCGAATTACAAAGGCTCGTGATGACCGCTTTATTGTGTCAACAATCATAAGAAATCGTCACCTTATTGTGGTAAGTGCAACAACAGCTCTATGAAGTTCGAAGAGTGGCTATTAGTCAGTGGATAGTGAGAAGAAGACTGAAGCAAAATAATCTGACCCCAAAAGCAACTGCAATTGGTCCAAAACTTACTCCAGCTCATCGACAAGCGCGCCTACGCTTTGCACGGGATCATCTGAATTGGACATTGGACCAATTGGGATCTGTCCTGTTTTCAGAGGAGATCAGAATATACCTTATTGGTAGCAACCGACGAAAAAATGTGTACCGAAGAAACAGGAGAGCGATTTGCAGAATGCTGCAATGGAGAGCGGAGCTCTTATGGGGGTGGTTATTGCATGATATGGGGTGCAATTTCTATGGACGCACGAACTGATACTGTTTTCATCCATAGGGACGTCCGTGGTCAAATGGCAGGAAGTTTTATCAGATCACGTGGTACCATATGTCGACTTCATTGGAGAAGAATTCATTTTTATGCATGACAATGCTAGGCCGCACACCGCAAGGATCGTGCGAGATTACAGAAGTCGGTTTTCAAGTTATGGAGTGGCCAGCATCCAGTCCCGTCCTCAAGCCGATCGAACATTTATGTTTCGTACCCCAACCTCGATCAACTTATTGTTGCAGTAGAGGGAGAATGGCTTAGTGTTCCACAAGAAACAATAGCGAACTTGATTAGATCTGTGCCTAATCGAACCCTATTTGTTTTTAGTAATAAAAAAAGTTAATTTGAGTCGCGCAGTTATTTTACTATGCTAAAACTAAAATGCGGAAAAAATTTTAGTCAACTTAAACTCGTATTAAAACATATAAAATTGCCCTTTGAACAGCATTTTTTTTATCTGATTAGTAGTTGAAAAAAAAATTAAATTCAAATGAAAAAATCACAATGGGCCGATTTCTATGCACGCAAGTGTTATGTTTTAATGAAGACTCGCTTATTTTTCTCGGTTGGTGAAATGAATTCTATTGTTTTTATCCATTTCTTTAGCGTAAATTAAATACAGTTTTTACACCTACGGCCTGAATATTGTGACCAACTGGAGTGAGTGAATCGTGGTTATTGATATCTCTGAAAATAATCATCGCATGCTAGCGATCGCATATAGCGACAGACGCAACAAACAAAAGGGCATCAAACTTTTTCCGCTTTTCGCAAACGACCACGTCGGGAGGAGGCTCGCTGCTTTAAATACATTACACTCAATGGTTAATTGAAAATCCACTTTAAAGTTATGCTGCGCGGCTCTCGGAATTGCAATCAACGATACAATTTCCACATTTTTAAATCTAATTTTAATGTAATGAGAGGATGCGGATACAAGGGAAGGGCGTCGGAAAAAGAAGCACGTAAAATATAGAAAGAATGCTAATTAATTATTCCGAGGAGTTGGCTGCGGAGGGTGATTAGCATTCTGAATTTAGCTGAGGTTTCGAATCACCAGGAAACCTTAAAACGAAAAGCCGAACGGGCGAACGGAGAGTGGGAGGGAGAGAGCGAGAGAGGAGGAGCGAGAAGGAGAAAGGCGTGCGGATTAACAATTTTAAATATTTTATTAAAAAATGCTCGCGGCTTTATAAAGTAGACATAAGACGGCTAATTATTTTCCGGATCCGAATTGAAAGTTATTTAATTTGGAAATACTTTTTAAAATTTCGGGTCGACCGTGCCTGGAAACTTTTCAGTTATTTCATATGAAACCCTTTCGTACAAAGAGCACGTCATATTATGTAACAAGTTTTATTTAAAAACATTTATTTACCAATCTTGGAAGTGTAAACTTTCCCTAACCTGCAGATACAGTTGCTAAACGACTAAGATTAAATTATAAACACAAATAAATATCCATGAAAAGTAGGAAAACAATCGACATCCAAAGATAAGCAACTAAAAAATTGATGGAACCCGTTATTCACTTTTGATGCATAAAAAATAGCAATATAGGTAAAATATGCAAAATATTCTTTTAAAATGTTCAAAAACGTCAGTTTCTGCTTGAAAATTGTATCTAGCATTCAATTTATCTTGATAACATTTTAAGTGGCTATATTTTTTTTGTTTTTAGAGATATTAAGGTGAACAAAACAACAAAATGTAGGGTTAGTAGCCAAGTTTTTTCCAAGTGACGTATAAAACAAAGCACTGCCTGTTTTCTGACATTTAAGCCTATATCATATTTTTTTAAATAGAATACCCTATATGCGTTTAATATAATATCTTATTCCTATTAAATAAAATAGGAAATTTTTATATAATTTCAAAGAGTGCCGCGACTGACTGCAACAATAATAGTTATTTACAAATTAAAATAGAACAAAAACATTAAAAATGACAAGACACACTAAAGTAAAATATTCTTTAACTATTCTAAATACTGCTGTATGTGACCGCTGTTAGTAACGTTTCCGGATTGTCTCTCTAACTGATTGATAGCCGTCCTGTGTCGAAGTTCTACCACATTATTATAAATAAAAAAAGAAAGAGAAAGAAAAGAAAAAATCCATTAAAGTTAAGTCGGGGCTGTTGGCTGGCCAATCCACAGTTCCGGCGTTCACTATCCAACCCCTGGAATATTCCATGTTAAGAAAATTACCTGCACAACAATGTGAACAGAGGCACCGTCTTGTTATCATATTATTAACGCTGATATATTTACCAGTAATTTTGATCTATAAATATCGGACCCAAAATATGCCCGTCTATGACACCACACCCTACATTGATTGATTGGTACCCCCTGGGTTTTTATTTCGTGTATTTGTCTAGAATTATTTAAAGACCAATGTCGCGTATTTTATCTATTACAACCCTTTCTTGTAGTGAACGAAGTTACATCAGTCCATAAAATATTTTTCAAAAAATTATTATTCTCATTGTGTTGTCCTTTGATATTGTTTTGTTTTTTCTCTTTAAATTTGTGAAATTGGAGCGCTTTTTTGTTTTATACTGATTCGATAAATTAGTTACGAATTCGGTAAAACCTTGTGAAAAGCTACCGCAAAAAATACTTAAAAAGATGTATAGAGGAAACATCAAAAACAAAATATAATCGCTTTTTACAAAACTTCTGGATTCCTCTTGCGTCAGTTTCTGTTGAGTCAAGCTCTGAAGAAGCCAACAGCATGATTGGCAAAACGTTAGAAAGTTCGACTCAACAAAAACCGACGCAGGATGAATCCAGAAGTTTTGTAAAAAGTAAAATATAATCGCGAACAATGTTAAGGGACTTTGATTTCACAGGAAAGTCAAACAATTTTTGGAATAATCTTAATACGAAAAATTATATAACATAGCAAAAATTAACTTTTAGAATTAGTATGGTCTACACAAATATTGAATATATTAGTAAGCACAATATGTCTACAATTATTTAACTAACACACAGAACTATTTCCCTACTCTACCGCAATAATAAAAAAAATCAGATGTCTCGTAGCAGGATTTTGTCACAAAACATATGTTATTATAAAAACTACGCTCGTTGTACTGCCTATATCGATAGACATCAGATGCAGTTTAGAATTTATTAGTATTAGCTAACTATTGAAAAGTGAAACCAGTGGAAATACCAAAAAGGCAATATTTTACGATAATGTTTACGTGAATTAAGCTGAATTTGACTTTAATTCCGGCAAAGACGATTCTTTGCTTACTCTCGATGGATGATAAGTTTGTGTTGAATAAAACCTGTGTGTGCTAAACACTTGAACGGTGATTTTATTTAGTACCTATTTTTCTCAAAAGTTTCCATCTATTCCATTTTATTCCACTCTAATACTGCTCAAGTGGTGCCATTTTGTCGCCGCTTTTGAGTGTCAAACTTTAGCCATACCCGTTTAAATCTTTTTACGCGTTTTAATCCGTGTTATATAGACCGTATGCAAAATAGAACATCCGTCAAAAAACGTTCCCGAACTAAAGCTAACAAAAATTAATGGTCTCGCATAAAATTCCGACATTTTATAACGGAGAACTTCATTTCGCGGTTGTAAATATACAAAGAAGAAGGGTTTGAATAATTACAATATTGTTTCAGTATAATAGGTTTGTTGTTGGCATAAAAGATCGGCACTAGTCCGTAAAATAAACTCGATGTCAGGATTTACAGTGGCATCCGAAATGGCTGCGATTATTACCGTTTTATGGCAGCTTAGCCTTCACTTTGGTGGTTGTTTTACGGCCTGTATAATTCGGTTGGCGATTATAAAATGTCGAGAATTTCGGGTATTTATTTGTTCGTCGCTCTTGATGTGGTCTCTTTGGTTTCAGGTTGTCGACGAACGTAGGCCTGGAGGCAGCGTACGGGCTGAAAGCAGGTATGGAACGTTTTTTTTTTAAAGCTTCTCTTGTATTTATATGTCGATTCGAGTTAAAAAAAAACACCCCGCTATAGACTTTCAGTTATGAAACAAGCTTATTTACTTTGATTTAAAGCAATCTTTGTATAGAGGTTTTGACGCTATGTTATTCATAGTATATTTTTTTTTTTTTTAATTTTCCTCTTCTAGGTAGGCAACTAAAAATATTAAAAATAAATTAAACTAAACTCAGGAAAAGATCATAATGAACCAACAACAACAATCAACTTTTTGTAATTACAATTTTTTTTTAATTTGTAATTTCCTTAAAAAAACTGGTTCAACGGTTTAATAGTGGATTCTATACCAAATTGCCGCCTTGCTCATTTATTTAATTCTCGAAACTGCTGTTTAATCTGTTTATTTTGATCGGCCAGATCAATATCGTGATCTTTCGTCAAATTAAACTTTAAATGACAGTTTTAATATAGAGTGCATGCATAAAGGATGGAATCCCACATTTATTTTTTGTACCCTTGCATATACTGTGAATTTTGACATGGACGTATATAATTATAATTTGTAATTTTTTTAAATATCTCAAAATGTCAAAATGACAGCAGGGCGCCATTTAATTTTTTTTTAATAACAAGAATTGTCATGCGATACTTCTTTGTAAAGGTTTTTTCGCGTTTTATTCGCATACCATTCTTGAAAATATTTGGAAAACAATATTTGGAAACACTTTTCTATTACTTAACCGTAGCTTAAATTTAATAAAAATAAATAGTTTTATCATTTTATCCACTAATTTATTAAATATTCGAAATTATCATCTGTTGCATTTTGACAATAATAAAGGCTGTCAATAAACTCTAACATTATGCAAAGTTTCTGGGGGAATTACACTGCAGACATTTCAAACTCTGTCTTTCGGATCTCCAGCTGAATTTGATTTTGTAACATACATTTTAGTATTTAGATATCCCGAAAGAAAAGTGTTTATAAATCAAAAATTATGTTACAAACCCAAATTCAGTTGAAAATCTGTAAGACAGAGTTCGAAATGTTCGCAGTGTAATTCCCCCAGAAACTTGGCATAATGTCAGGAACGAGTTTATTGACAGACTTTAAGTAATAGTTAATAGCAAAAAAAAACTTTTCTACGGCATTTCAAACGTACTGCGCACCAGCAGAAGTGTGATTTCTGATAGCCGTGTGCACAGACCTTTAAGAAAGGGTGCACGTGGTTCTTATCGTTCTCCGTCGAGACATTGGACAAATTAGTCATCAGTATGGGTAGTTTCGTTTCCGCTTTCGTCGTTCTTTATCGCGTCTGCAGCCGAATGTGTCGTCGGCAAGCGTTGTATTTATACATTCCCGTTCGTCGTAGTAACCGGCACGCGGTTTTTATTGTGCCGGTGGCGGCAATATGTCACGTAGTCGAACCGTAGTCAGATAAACGTTATTGCCGCGAAATACCTGACTCGCTAAGAGGGAGACGAACACTACCTCTACCTATCTCGTTCCTTGTTTCATGTCCGGGGTGTGTACGTGCTGATTCGCAATAAACAGATTTCCTTCTCGTCGCAGTATTTATTCTCCTTCGTATTATGTTGTTTTTTTTTTCGTAGACAAATTACTGAGCAAAATTCTTATAACTCAAACCAATTCAAATCTTCGAATCGGTTTATCTGTATATTCCTTTATATCTTTAATATTCAAAACATGTTATGCATTGACTTATGCCATTTTTTCACTTTTTTTATTTGTAGCATGCTGTTTTGAAAAATAGTGCACGTCGCCTGCAGGTTAATAATGCTGGCCTGCATTTCCACTTGCTTTTCCGTAAGAGAAATGCATATCGCGATATCCACTATCACCCATCTGTAAATTAAAAGTTTCGGGCCGAGAATAAAAAAGTGGCTAAAGCATAACACTTATCGACTTACAAGGCCAACGCCAAAATTTTCCGGCCTGAATATGAAAGAAACAAAGTAGAGTAACAATTTTTTATTATTTTTGAATATAATCCCCCTTAACTTCAATACACTTATTACATCTCTTTATTAACAACTCAATCAAATTAAAAAAATATTCTTTTGGTTTGTCTGCAAAATGAGCTAAAACAGCCTCTTTTAACTCAACTTCGTTAAACTGCCAAGTCATTGACTACAGTGACAGATCCCGGTGGAACAGTGTTAATAGAGTACATTTCGTTGCACAAGTAATCTACTGAAAGATTTTTTCCGACCACAGATTTGTATTGCTTAGATCTGTTTGTAATAAGATTACGTCTGCTCTGGTAAAAATTGTTCTACATAACTTGAGATCACCATCAAATAACTAAAAACGAGATGACTTAATAGGAGTACCAATGGCATTTATAAAATATCAAAAAGTAAAAACCACAGAGACCTTTGGGGGACACCAGAGAACAATTTTATTTCCTTTGAAATTGTTTATTCTGACAATCTGATCGTCTTAGGGATAACTCCTAAACTAATGAAGTATATCGCACTTAAAACCCATATCAAGAAGTTAAACTCACCAGAATTTATGATAAACCCTGTCGAAAGCATTCGAGAAGTCCGTGTAGATATTATCCACTAGTAACCTCAAACAAAAGAAGCCATGCTGCTCGTCAACAATCAAAACTTTCACAGACGACGACGACTGCTTGTGAGCAACCTTTTTATCAAGGAGTTTAGGGTTATGAGATTGCATACTTCACGATAATTGCTTAGGGGAGGGTGAGGCAAGGTGAGGCCCACCTCAAAAACTAACCAAAAATTGTTTGTTCGTTATTTCTTTTTTTGCCATTTGCGTAATATCAGGGGTAAAATGGACCGCTTAAAAATGCTAAAAAAAGCTATTCCATATGCCGTCGGCACCCTTTTATCATCTTAGCGAGATGCCGTTGCGTCATTTGCACAGAACGATACTGGTGGCGTCCTTTATCGGCGACTCAATCCCATATTCCCATATTATAAACACTGTTAGTTTTGTATTACTTTTAGAGGCCCACGAAAGGATAAAGTTAGGCTTGGGTCTTTCAGTTATTAAAAAGCTTTGAATGTAACTCTTCGCCTTGCATGTAATGTTTGATGGAAAATCAAGTAGTATTTATTTCATAAACCGAATCATCATTAATTTATTGGAAGTGCTATTTTTTGGATAATTCTAGAGATCTAGCCCAAAGCCAGAGCTTTCGAAAATCTTATAAATACCAATAACACATTTTTTAATCGATAAAAAAATAGTTCCTAATCAGTAACGTTTTTTTTTTTATTAAATTATTTTTATTAAATAATTATAATTATTATATATAACATTACAAATAGGGGAGAGTGGGGCACGATGGCCAGAAGCTTCGCCAAAATTTGGGTAAATTTAGTTAAAGTTAGTCAAAAATAAATAAAAAATAATAAAAAACTTAAGTGTCCCCCATATCCTTCATCGGTCCACCGTATAGGAGTAGGAAACTGTAATATCCAATATATCCAAATCTTGGGTTAGGGAATAGGGACACATAGTTTTGCTATTGACATGACATAACATTCCTAAGTAATCTACTTTAGATTTGACAGTTTCAGGTTTCTTATTACAAATAAAATATAGTCAGAGATGGTCTCAGTTCTAATAAATCGCTTTTTCAACCCGTAAATATAATATGAAACATCCGAAAAAGAGATAACTTTTCTGCACGAAAAATGCACTTATTCTTGTTCGTTTTTGGTACTTCCACCGACGATGACCTGCAATTTCAATCGGGCTGGTCGTGTTTTAAAATTCACCGGTGACGCGACGCGCCCTTCCACCGAGACACCCTTGAGTTACCCTCGTCCGAGGAAATGAAAACTGAACACTTTTCATACGGTGACAGTCCGTTTTCCTGATTAAATTTTCATTAAAAATTATAGACGGCAATAAAAACGCCACCGATATGCCAGTGTGGAATTAATAAAGAGGAAAAATTAATCAATTAAGCGATTTACTTCGTTAGCCCCGTTTCGGAAAGTGCAGACAGTTTTTTTTCGGCCACAAGTATAATGGCCGTTTGATGTTGAATATAATTTATTGGTAACTCTTCGAAGTCTGAAAGGGGGAATAGACAATCATGAATATTCAAGTACCGATATCGATTAATAATTTTATTTAAATTTGGGAATTGGCTAGAAACTTTTGGTTAGTTACTAAAATAATGTTAATTGGAGAAAGGTGTTCGGCTGCCTTGATTTTTTTTATTTCTTTTCGGTTTTCGATTGTTTTGACTTTCTCGTTTGGGATTAATATGTCAGGTATTATTTCAATATGTTATACACAGTGCTTAAAAAGGTAGACTTTGTTTTCTATATACAAATCAAATCAAATTTAACTTTATCAAATGCATATTTATTATTATCTCCCGTATATTTTCACTGATCTTTTTGAAATTTGGAGCATATCCAAACACAGAACTTTTTCTAAAGAATAATTTTTTTGCTATTACCCTTTATCTTGCCCTCAATAATTAAAAGTAGGATTTCGTACTTTGAGCCTCTCGTGATATATCCCAAGTATTGGGGTTTTCTTATTTTCATAGTGGTTAAAAGTTCTTTCCCTTTGTTCATCCTTGTTAGTACTTCCGTGTTTCTTACGTTCTGTACCCAGGGAATACGAAGAAGACGCCTGTATATATACATTTCGAAAGCCTCGAGTCTTTTTTCGGAGCAAGGATCAAGGGTCCAATACTCACATGCAGAATCTATTCATATTTATGTATGTCATGCGGACCTGTGCAGTTCTGGTGTTTACCTCTTTCCTTGGATCCCGTTTTTTATATACGTTGGTACCCAAATAGTTAATTGTGGATACCACCCGGTTCTATGACATTCTCTCCAACTTTAAAATGTTCGCGAGTGGCAGTTTCCTTTTTTGTTATTAACAGCCATTTAGTCTTCCTTACATCCAGACTCTCTACTATAATATATGACTCTATCTATTAGGTTATGTAGATCTTGCATGTTGCATTGAAT